CTCTTTAAGTCTTTAGGGGAAAACTCTGTCTTCCCCTTAATCGTTCTAGCTGAGGAGTATGTGCAATTAAGCATGATTATTTATCAAGTTCTTCCACTTTGAGGTTTTCTGTTGTTGTTTTCTTTTCGTTTGTTTGGGGGTTTTGGTTAGTTGTTTTTGGGGGATTTTTTGTTGCTTTTTTAATTAACACAAAACTACCAAAGGCAAAGGTTAGATTTAGAATTTGAGGCTTCAAGGAAACTATTTGGCTACAGTCTTCAGACATTCTGAGGAGAGTCAAGCTGTCAGGATGAAAGCTCCCAGTGCAGGTTGCTGGATGCTCAACTTGCCTCCTAGGACTCTCTCTAAAACAGTGTAGCGACAGCAGAGTATGGGATATTAACTTCAAACCTTTGTGCCCTACCTTAGAGCTTTGTGGTAGTTTTCTTCTCCAAAAGAAGTCTATTTTCATTATTTTTAAAACAGACTACTCAGCTAAAACTGATGTTCTGTTGTAAGCACCAGTTTTCACCCAATAAAGCATTTGGAAAGTACGTGTGGGCAACTCATGCCTTTAAGGGGCAAACAATACATTCTATCCTTTCGAGAGAACTCCAGTGCACTAAAGGAGAAGGTGGCAGACATTAAAACCATAAATATAAATACAAACAGTTTCTTTACAACTCTGACTGTAAAATTGCTTCAGCATGTTAATTTGGTGGAATACATGAATGAATCACATGGTCAAATGACATTCCTATGTTGTCATCATCACAGGACAGAGCTGATTTTTCAGCTTGCTCGGGGTGAGACAAAATCCTAACTTCCAGTGTGACCTGAAAAAGCCACTTGATTTGAAGAGTAATCTTCTTGGTAGAAGATAACAATGCTTGCACCAACAAGTCATTCATACAAAAAGCTAAGCTTAAGGCAAGACTGAAAGCAACGGAAACCGCTTAAGAGGAGGCACAGTTCTTTAACCATGAGAGCACAAGAGAGATTTAATGAATAAAAATTAAAAAGAAAAAGCTAATGCCTTTTCTATAGTCAAATACTATTAGCACTTAATACTTTAAAATATTATTTTGCTGACAGTATCAGGCTACAATCTAAACATGTAAATGTTGTAAATACGCCTGGACAAGTATTTTGAGCTTATTAAAAATTAAGAGGTAGCTGGCCAACTAGCATAGACACTAACTAAACATTAGATGCATGTGGAATGCCACTACAGTAACACATTTGAGGTCATTATTCATGCAGTTAATTTCTCAGGCCAGGACACATATAGTAACATCAAAATAAGTACGTGTCAACTATAATGCACATGTTGCAGAGATTTGGCATACAATAATTTTACACGTCATGTCACTGTTTCCCATTAATTCCTACTTCAGTACCAAGATGACATGCGAAGAAACACAATTGCAATCTTTCAACTTCATTGAGTGGGAAATTCTACAACAGTATTGTAGTAATATTTTAAATGTACCAAATAAGCATAAATTAAATATAATTTTAAATCCAATTATTGAAATAAATTTGCTACTCCAAAAGCTCAGAAGTTAATGTGATATACATTCGCTTATCAAATGGTTAAAATATTCCTTGCAAATCATAATCCCTATTCATTAAGGTTAAATTGAACAAGTTTTGCTGGTTTTGGGGGGATTTTTTTAGGCTGATTACTGTAGCACAGCAATTTTTTCTTTCAGGACACCGTAAACTCTCTCTACGCCTCAGAAAGCTTACATCAGTTTAGAAACCTTGCTATTACCACTTTTCCTGCTCAACTCATTCACTCCATTAAGACTACACAGTAGATTGATTTTGAGATATGACAAAGATGCAGTATGAAACTCCAGTTTCAAGAATCAGACTCAAAAAAATTGTTTCATGAAATGATTAGTTACAAATTTGCAGCTGCCCTTACTGGTGGAGGGAAAGGGAGGAGGAGGCAGTACAAATGCAAAGCAAGTTTCAAACACATTTTTACAGCATTTCTACACATCTACAAGACATGATCGTATTCAACAAGAAATTTAATACTAGTGTCGTTGTAGTTTAAAAAGCTGTAATTATACAGAGGTACATTAGAGGACAATTTCATTGACGTTACTAAGATCTTCCAGACCACTTAACCCTTCTGGTTTTGGAATATTTGTTTGTATTGAATAATATACTCCTTACAAGCGTTACAGAGCAATTAGCGTTTTGTCAATTGTTATTTCACTTGGCACCAAAAAAAAGATACTAAACTGATCCAGTGTCTAGGTATTGCTCCTACATAAAAAACACTTAAAACCACTACTGTTTTTCCTATTTCTTTCTTCCAATACGTTTTTTTCTCTTTAATTAAAAGTTTCAAGTATCATGGATTTGACATTTAACTGCTATGTATTAGAACTCATTATAGCTGAGATTTCTATCCTACACTGGCTTCCTATCAACAAGATAACAACTTACCAACATGTAACAACACTAGATATATTAAGATATCACACGCCTTACAAGTAGCAAGTCAACTCAGACGTCAGCGAAGCTCCTGCGGTTGAAAACATCTTAAGTGGGAGCTGAGTGCGTCTCCAATACCAGCCATTCCTGTCTCAGACAACCCAGATGTTGAGGAACACGCAACATTCGAGCACAGGGCAGGGTTAGGAGATACAAATGCACCACGTGCTACCTGGACAGCTGTTCACTGTCTCTTCCATGGAAACGGCAGCGAGCCAGATGAAAACAC